ATATAAGTTCTACACTAGTTGCTATACCTGCAAGCCAACTAGGGGTCTTGTTTATTTAAACCCTCTGCATATGCAGTCCTCTTTGTATCACAGAAACATCTAAAGGCATCACCTATCTAAGTTCTTGATGCTTATTGGTATCCTTAGGACTACTTTATTTTCGATAGAAAACTTACTAGAGTCTTTATGTCCCACATATATAAACCTAGTTTTATGCAATATACTATAGTTACCTAACTTTTGCAGTTACAAAGATTATCTGTTTAACCACTATGTTATACTATTTCTATTCTTGTAAAGTTTACTAGAATCCTAGTATTCATCTTTCTAGCATCTTCTCTATTATCCCTTATTAGCTGCAACTCAGAACTGTCAGTCTCATTCCAGACTACCAATCCAGATGGCTCGGTATAGTATACTTCTGTATCTTTTTCCTCGGCAAACCTGGTAGCCTGGTTGGTTATATGCTCCTCTATACATATTTGTTGTTTGATTTTAATTTTCAATTTTTATGAAGGTGTTTCATAAGCTTCAACCAGTCCGATGGTATCATCAAAAGTTCATGCTATCTCTTTACTCAGGAATTTTCAAGTAGGTTTCTATCATCTTGATTCTTTAGTCTTCTATGCCTGGTGGTTTTATTATGGATTTGCACCAAAGTCTTATATAACACTGGTAAATATTCCTTTATATACATGTAACATTACACTTTGCATAGATGCCTGAGCTCCCAATGTCGAGAGGACCTGACTTGGTATACCTGAGTAACAGTCACATAAGGCCAACTGATCAACAAGAGACAGTTACCATAACGCAGATATAATTTTCAAATTTCATCATAGGTAGGATTTGAACCTTAGACCTGTCACTTGGAAGATGACAATCTAACCACTACACTAGGATCTCTATCCTCAATGCTACAAGTTTGTAAAATTAAAATAAATACTAAATTATTTAAATAGTTGTTTTTGAATAAGATATTTAAGTTTAAAGTTTAAGAAAAATTTTAATAAAAACAATTTATCCAAATTCTGTTAACTTACTCCTATATTAAAATTTTAAACCAATATATATTAAATTAAGTATATTAAAATTTTATTATATAAAATACAAAATATATAAAATTAATTTGTATAAAATTTTTATTAATAAATAATAATAAAATTATATATATATACATATTATTTTAATATTTAATTATATTTTAACAAAATTTAAATAAAATTAATTAAATAATTAACTTAAAATCTATTGCTTGCTAATTTTTATTTTAAATAATATCATCTAGTTGTATAAAAACTAATCAGATTACCAGATTTTGTGTAATTAAAACAAAGTAAATAAATAATTCAAGATTTATTATAAAAACCGTGCTTCAACTTCTAATAAAAGTTTTTAGCATCAAAATTTTACATATATTTAAACCCTTTAATCTAACCTAAAGTTAACCCTAACCTTCTAACTTTAAATTTATTTTACTTGTAATAAAAATTTTATAATACCAGATGATATAAACAACCATCAATAAAAATAAGACAGATTGATATTTGAAAAAAAAATTTACTTTAACTTTTATAGCCCATATTTCGATGAATTTGATACTATTTGATGATTAAATATTCAAAAGGAAGCTTAGATCATAAGCTTTCTTTTGACTATTAAATCATCAAGATAGCATCAAAATCCATCGAGATATAGGCTATAAAAGTTAAGGTAAATTTTTTCTTTCAAATGTTACGTATAATCTAATTTTTTTGTATATACTAAATTTAATATGTTTGACCTACGGATACTATTAAAAAAATTTATAATAAAGTTTATAAAAAATATTTTTAAGAATATATTCTATATTATTAATAAATTATTGTTTTATCTTTTTTTAAATTGTATTTTAGACAAATTTTACCTGAAAAATTGAATTGTATTTAGTATTATTTAAATAGTAATTTAAAAAAAATTATTAAATAAGATTCGACACTGTACTAGTAGTGATGTATACGTAGCCCATGTGTAATGTCATAGTATATACTAATAAACCAAAAAAAGCCATCTTAATAACAAAAAATCAATACTCTTAAATTTAAATACATATTTTTTTAAGAAATCTCGTCTATATTTCACGGGGTGCATAACTTTGCATAATATCGGCCCATTTCCGGAAAATTTTGGCTGATGTTATAATGACTATAAAGGGTTGCATAATTATGTAACATTCACAGTACTAACGCTAACGTAAAGAGCCGGATTAATTTTACGAAATAGCGATAGTTTAAATTAAACCCGAATAGAGTTATAACGAGTTGGGATCTTGTTAAAAAATTAACGAAGCAGCATTATTGAAAATTCACCTGAATATCATATATTTTTCTAAAAATTTATAAGCCACACCATCCCACATGCATTTTAACTATTTAAATACAAAGAAAATCAAGGTAAGAATTACCATTTAGAAATACTTAATTGCCGGTGTTATGAAGAAATTCAATAATTAACTGTGGGGTTAAACAAATATTGTAAGACAAAGATAGTAAACAAAAACCAGCACGGGTAAACATTGTGCAGCAAAAAAAACCAATTATTTGAAACGTTGATTTGTCGATTTTCAAATGTCAAAAACACACATGTGCTTATTGCGTCAAAAATCCGAACTAAACCAAAATAAAAGATCAACAAACAAGAGGCGTTAACGTAGGGGCATCGGATACAGTTTTACAGCGAAGTCGTGCGATAACCGAGTTTAGCAAGTTGATTACTTTTGACTGTTATTGTTTGTTAACGGTGTAATACTAAATTCGAAAAACCAGATGGTAACGGTAATGGTTATTCAAAGATCCCAAAATTAGAAAGAAAAGAATGTACAAAGTAATAATAGGACTCATGATATCTTTGCAGCAAAAGAGATGAAGATTTTAAAATATACTAATAAAGTTTTGGGTTTTGGATATTTTTAGTACATGTTCTTTGTGGGATATTATTAACCTTGTTAATTTACAAAGAAGGTCGTATTGGATTGAGTGGTGCTGTATGATTACGAGCATATGTATCGCATATCATCGCGTGGTCTGTTGAATACCCGATATAAACTTCATATTGATTGAATGCTAATACATAGTCACCAGACGCGTTTAAATTCTTTAAAGACAAATTCAAAGATGGAAAGATTTGAACTTTTCATTTTGCAAATTGAACGCGTAGAAAATTAAACAGAATTGAGAATTGTATCAGGTGTCAAAAAGTCAATTCATTTTTGCAAAATGATCCGTTGATATTTGTGGTAATGTGTTTCTTCTACTTTATCTTTCTACTATGAAGTTATGCGTATATATCCTTCACTTGTGATGACAAGATTTAAAACTAAAAATCGAGAACAAATACTTGCAACTTAATGATTACGCCATATTTACGGTACATGGCGGAGACCCTGCACTATCTCCACATCTTCTTATCTACCATCAAAGAATAATGGAAGCTGCAGTCATTCATCCAGGTTCATCGCAACCTGTCTCATGCTTTAAAACGATAAATACAAGATTCGATTGGCTTACCCTGTATTTTTTTTTTTTTTTAAATCAAAGACATATAATACAATATGACTATATTAGGTAAGAATATGTTGCATTCCTTGAAGTAAAATTCATCTGATGAACATGCGAGTTTGGATAAAAAAGTATCATTTTCACGAGATAACGACACAAAATAAACAAGTTATCCATTATTATATTGTATAGCGAATCTAATAAAGTATATCGAAAAACTTGTTGTTGCAAGAAAAATAACAAAATTTCGGATCGTTTGAATGTTTTTTTAATAACAATTCCCATTATTTCTCTTCCCCACTCACCATGCTAATGTATTTTGAATTGCACGTTGTTACATGTTTTCCTGCCACGCTGTTGAAAATTGATTTAAGCGGTTGACATGGGATTGGTATTTGAAATATACGTGTGTTCATACCTGATCATCAGCCAGTCATTCATCTGATTATTTTCAGGTGATACGCACAGTATACCACAAGTAACAAACACTCCTCTATTCAATATACGTACGTAATCTTCTTTATCTGCCTTTGTGGCTGCAATTTGCTTGCTTGTGCTATTTCGAAAGTCACTAACTTTTTTTCCTTTTCCTTCCTCTTTTCTGTCCTTTTTTGCCTCATCATTCTATATATTTTCTGGTTCTAAACTTTAAAGTTTAGTTAGTGTCATGTTGCATGTGTATTTTTAACTCATCTTTTGATGAGGTCATCTATTTCCGATGTTAAGACAATTGATGATTTTATTTTACACAAAAATTTTTTTATACATAAAATGTGTGGTTAACATTCACTAAGTCGTTGAATTTATTGTTATAAAGGGCAAAAAAAAAAAAAAAAAAAAAAAAAAAAAAAAAAAAGCTAAAAGAATAAATATTAAAATCTTCGGAAACACGACGGTAAACCATTTCCTGAATTGAATAAAATTCACGCCTCTCTTACCGAAAGAAGAATCTATCGACACAACGCTTCAAAGCAGGTATTGATAATTCAAATCCCGGGTCTGAAATCTTTTTAACCCTTCTTCAACCTTTTGACAATTTATTTCCCTTAGACCTTGTCATCAAAAGGACAAATATAATAAACATAATATTATTTAATTTAAAAGTTAAATCATTTTCCCTCTGAAGAAGGGTTCCTGCAAGCTGTTGGTTGACATTCCATGAACATATATATAGATACTTTTGAAAAAATAAACACCAGTAAAATTCTTTTTTACAATTTAATATATAAAGCGGAAAATTTCTCTATATTTTCTCGCTTTTGCTTTTTCTTTTCAAAAAGCACGAGCCCAAATAAACTATCCTAGCCTTTAAATAAGGTTTAAATTTCAAAAGTCTCCAGTAAAACATAGGAAAACTTACCCTTAAAAAGTTTTTTTTTTTCGCTGAGCGAGAACATTTTTCTTCCTTATTATAATAACGAATCGTTTGAACTTGCATATTAAACGTAAACTTTCAACTTAATAATGCCGACCGAAGTCATCATCCCGGAAACAGGGTCAGAACAAGAATCAACTACACCAGCAGAAAGTATTGCGGATGGAAAAGATTTGACCACTCCAGTTCAAGAAGAGATTTCTACCACTACTGTCGACAAGATTAAACAAGATGACATCTTGGAGACACCACCTTCTCCTGGTACTTTACAACATCCTCCACCACCTTACTCACAATGGGATCAACTCAGTTTAGAACAATTACTTGAAAAGAGTAAAGAGGTTCTCACCATGACTAACGGTGGTGAACAAAAAGATGGTAAAATGCTTGACAAGGTAAGAAGTCCCCCTCGAGTACGTGCCAACAATTTTCATACTTTGATGGCATTTTCTCACTTGATAAATATTTCGATGATCGCGAAAAGTTTCGTCTCTCGAAATTTTTAGTAGACAAATGACGTAATGCTGTCCGAGATTGAACATTTAGGTTTATAAATATTTTATCATTATTTATTTATTAACATTAAATAAAATTTATTCGGTTTATTAGATGACCCAATTAGAATCGCTAATATCATCATTGCAAGCTATTTTGAACGATCAAACGTTTGCCATGCATGGTTTGAGATCGCAATTATCAGAGTTAGTACTTTATATTCCTTTTTGTATCAAAATTCACTATTATTATAAATTATAAATACTAAATGATAATTAATGATAATTAATAATAATAATATTATTATTATTATATTCTTATTTTATTCTTATTATATTAGCATTCAGATGGATCTCAAAAAAATGCAAGACAAACAGGAAACAATAACTAATGAAGAAGTAATGAAACAGGTGGTTACAATGAAGGTATTATAATAATTTTGAATATTTAAATAAATATTAATTATAAAATTAAAATTATAATTATTTTAAATATTTAAATAAATATTGATTATAAAATTAATATCATACTAACTTGTTTATTCTTTAGGCTCTTACCGAAAATCTTCTCGCATCAAATGAACTTAAACAAAAATTTGATGCCAGTGTTGCCGCAGCTATGGCGGTGGCTACGAATGTTACAGAAAATACATTTAATTCAGAAGAAGCTATATCTATCTCTCAACCACCAACCGAGACAGACGATATAGTTACTTCACTTCCTTCATCAGAAATTTTGAACTTACCACCTACCACTATTCAACCTTCTTCATCATCTCGTCAAACTTCTAGAGTACCATCTCGTGTTCCATCTCGTGTTTCATCTCGTGTTCCATCCAGAACTACTTCTCGAGCACCATCAAGAGCACCATCATCTTCTAGACCAGTATCTCGTACTGTATCGCCAGCTCAAACTCCAATCTCGTTATCGAGATCATCGTCTAAATATAAAATTGATTACCCTACAACGGAATATTCCCTTGATATTCCAAAAATAGAAGAGGGGAGTGATGAAGAACTTGAAAATAATGATCCATCATTTAATAAGATGTGCGATTTATTAAATACATTAATACATGAAGCCACGGAGGCAGTAGAAAAACCCGTTAAAGGACGTGAGAAGAAGAAACGTGCACCATCAACTACAAGTCAAGGTTCATTTGACTTTGGGGATATTAATAATATGCTTGATGAATTAGAAGATGATGAAGATGAAGGTTTTGAATTCACCGATTCAGAAGAGGAAGAAGAAGAAGAACCAGATGAATCTATAGATGAAAATCAAGAAAGAGAAGAGACTCGAGGTAGAAACCTTAAAAGATCAAAGTCACATCAGCGACAAAAGAGTAAACATGAAGAAAGATTTGAACAAGGAATGTTGGAATTTAATAGGAGTATTGCAGATTTTTCCACACTTGTTGATGCAATAACAACAGAAAATGACAATATCCCAGAATATGATCCTTGCCTACAATATGTGGATCCAACTGACGATCTCATAAGAAATCCAAGTGAAGGCCTTGCAAATCTTGACGATTTCTCGCAACAATGTCGCCTTCTTACACGTGCGCTCATCCTTCCATTCTTACATGCGACACACTCTTTCATGTCTGAATCGCTTAAAACTAATTCACCAAGAAGTATGACAAGTACAACCAGGACCTTCATGAACCTTATGTACTGGACATTTTTATTTACACTTGGATCATTGGTATTAGATGCATGGTTATGTGAAGTTGCAGGAAGACAAGTAATTAGAATGGTTGATTTATTAAAACCAGAACCATTTGGTGGATTTCTTTCAAATAATTATGAACAAGCATCAAATGATCAACAAGATGGAGGGTTTGGAGTTTTGAATGACGGTAAAAAAAAAAACGTCAAATTTCGAACGGGCCCTAAAATGAAGTCCGTTACGTGGAAAGGTGTAGAGACGGGAGTTGTGGGTAGTGGAAAGAGGTGGTTGAAGGATGGAATGAAGAAATTGAAGAGAAAAGGTAGACGTTTGTTGACGAGTGGTCGATGGGATGGATGGGAGATATTTAGTAGAACGACGGTGGGACAGTTTGAAGATGAAAGTAGTGATGATAGTGAAGAATGGGAGATTGTAGACTTTGATAGTAGCGATGGCGAGGACAGCGAAACTGAGGAAGATGAAATTGAAGATCCAGCACTTGTTCTAAGACGTAGGATAACCAATGAACGATCTAGGCGTGCCGGACACGTAAACAGTATGATAATTGAAGGCAGTGCAAAAAAGGAAATAATAAATGAATTGATCGAAACTAATGTGTCCAGTATTACAGACCGACTAAATGATATGCAAGAAACAGATCCTTTATTTGAGCAAATAATAAATAGTACACTTTTACAGGAATCAGATGAAAATCCAGAGGATGTTAATTTAAATATACCCGGTTCATTTCCTTCAAAATTCAAATGGACGCCACCACCATCCCCAATTGTTGATGTAACAGAAGTAACAGAAAATGTAAGACGGGTAATAAGTGTCGTACTACGTCGACCAAAACGTAATGGACCTTTTGGTGGTAGTGGTTCGTTTTGGATAATGAAAACACGTAAAATAAAAACACGGAATATAACAAGTAAAGATGTTACTTCTGCAGTTCTTAAGAGCTCAAGTTCTAAATCTAGTCCAATATCAAAGAAAAAGAGCTCAAAATCACTACCAATTCCCAAAAGGACATGGATACGACGGAATAGTATATAGAAATAGACCTTTATAATTATTACAAACAATTGGAACATTTGGTATGGCGTCGTTAGCCGCCACGGAGGGTATTATTCTTGTATATTAAAATTTTTTTTTTCTTTAAAAAAAAAAAGGACAATTTAGACTTCCTTTTCTTTTTTGTATTTAGTTTTCTTTGCTTAAATTGAACTTTCCTACAATACTGGATTTCTTTGAATTTTTATTCTTTTTTTATGAACAATTTTGCCCCCCTCTTGTTTCGCTTTTTCTCCTTGTTATTATCAAAGCCTCACATTCATCCATTCTTTATATATACATATTTTTTTTGTTCACGTTTTATTTCATCTCATTAGTTTATTTATTATATTGCAATTTTCGAATGATATAACTAGCTTTTTCTTTCTTTTCTTTAAACATTCGTGTTCATAAGATACTATATATGAAAACTACAATATTCTTTATTTTTGGCTTTGCCTATATTAAGTTTTTTAAAATTTGTACCGTACATCTTTCGATTTTGTTCAAGGAATAAAAATTCTAACGGTCTTGTAGTTTGCTGTAACTGTGATGTTAATTTTACGCGACTTTTGATTGAGTTACGTGTTTTCTCTATCGCTATTCATTGCTTATAAATTTGACATGTATGTCATGATATAATTGAATAATTATTAACGTAAATTATGGTCGTGCGTGCGTACGTCGTATCAGAAGGTTTTCAGTGTATTCCCGCCACGCCAAAATTCCAAAACTGGTCATCACAATTAGAAAAAAATCGGTATTTGAGTACGTACTGATCAAAAGTAGGTCGGCAAGTGCCGTTCGCATATTAAAAAAAAAAAACATTAAACTCAATTTAGAACTTCTTTAAGGTTACATTTCATGCGGGATCCACTTTTGACCTTCAAATGACATAAAAAATTTATTAAAAAAAAAAGATTCACCAAAGATGAAATGATTGAAATCTTTTGAACCATCGCGAGTCATACTACCAATATCTATTCTTGGTTCTTTTATCATCAGAACTAGAATAACCTTTTATTACTTCTTAATCAGCGTGCATATACATACATTAATATATCATCGTTAATTGGCAAATCGGTTTTGCATCTCTTGATAAAGACTATTTAGGTATCATTTGACTTGTACGTATATAAAAGTGTTGATTTAATATTTATTATTCGAAAAGGTTTATAACACATGTCAGCCAACTTATCTGACGCAAAAGTAAATACTTTCTTTAAATGAGGTGTTTTATGGTCACAATATTATGAATTTCGAATGTGTACTTACGTAATACAAAAAAATAATAATAAATCAATTCATAATGGTAAACAAGTTACCCCTGTACAATAGCCAATTATATCGTTTAATCATTGCTATATTTTTTATTTTATTTTATAATTCTGTAATCGTTATGGTTATATTCAATTATATATTAAACATATCAGAAATAATTGACTAAGGAACGAGGCAGCCTCTTGTTTCAAATTTGTACAGATTGTACGTAGTGACCTGACGTCCCGTTAAACATTTTTGTAAAAGTATAATTCACTGTGATCGTCTTCCGCTTTGCTCCGGACAATGAGTATACTTGTAAATCTAATCTTTTTATTATAATGACCTAACTTGATTTTATTGTAGGTACCGGTGCGTAGTATCTACATATCAGATATTGTTCTTAACTTTTTGTATAAACAAATGGATATAAATAGTTACTTAGTGATCTATTAGAATAAAGATTGTACAAATTGCGGTTGATTGTAATTCTAGTTGCGATAATTTAATAGAAATAAATTTATACCGCATCTCGCGACATGTATGTGATTAGTCAAATTAGTAAAATGATTTTAAGAATAGGAATTCTTTATTTTAAACAATAGCTTATATAATATTTACAAAGTTTGATGTCTTTTGCAAATTTGGTGTAATAAAAAACATTTTGCATTTGTATATAAAATTTTATACTAAACATTTTAGTCTAGAAAAAAAAATATATTGTTTTACGTAATAAAATTTTACGTTGTAATTTTTTTTTTATACTTTTTTTTGAAAATATTATTTACTAAATTACCTATTTTTGGCTTCTAGGTAAAAATTTTTATATGTATAGTACGTACAAATATAATATTCTTTTGTTTAAATATTTTTATAAATTTTTATGGTTTGTTGTTTTATATAGTATATATATATTTTTATATAAATATATACGTATAATACGTATAGTTAGTAAAAAAATATAAAAATATTGTATATATATATATGTAGTACGTATAAAATAGCAAACATCTACGTAGTCCTATATAATTATATATCAATAAATTTTTATTATATAAATTATATATATAATATGTAACCATGCAGTAATAAGATGCATAATGTTACCTCTATATATAATAGTATTTAGCAAATTACATTCAAAGTGAGACTGCAAATAAATTTTTTAAAAGGTTTAAATGATTATTTAGTTTTAATTTTGCAATGAATTAATTCAAATTTTGTAAAAAAAAAGTCTTATATTTCTTTTACAAAGTTATAAGTATTTTATAAGGTTTTATAATTTATTGCATGTGCAATATATTGCATTTTTTTTGTTATTTAAAATTTTTGTCTATAAAACCATTTTTGAAGTTCTAATAAAAAAAATTTTTTGTAAAATTTTAATATATGTTATGCTTTTGTTTTATTTTAAACCTTAACACTAATTCTAATATTAATAAAATTTTATTTTTTGTTTTGATAAAAATTTTTTTATTATATATAAAATTGAAAATCTTTATATGGTAAAATAGAAGTGCAATACCGTTAATATTTAAAAAAAATAGGAGTGCAATATATTGCATTATGCAATAAATTATAAAATCTATACTTTATATATAGTTTTATCAATTTGCATAATATATTAATTTTATATATTTTCAATTAAAATAAATTTTTTTAAAATAATATAAAATATATTTATCTCTTAATCTGTAGGTTTTTCTAAGTAAATTTGTTTAAAAAATTATTAAAAATATACTTATAATTTATATTTTTTAATTTTTAAGATATTTAAATAAAATTTTATTTGATAATATTTAAAAATAAGAATTATATTATAGTAGTATTTAATTTTATATTATAAATATATATATATATTGCTTATAAGCTAAAAATAGATAAATTTAGAAAAAAATTTTAATTAAAAAAATTATTTAAAAACTTTTAGCAAACTCTTTAAATATTAATTTTAAGTCTATAGTTTTTAATATGATATTTTAATAATAATATTCAACTAGTCTCTTTTGGAACTAAAACTTTTATTTAGTAGTTAGAACATAGAGACTCATAACAAAATCTCAAAAGAGTTATTTTATATTAGAAAGTACAACTAGTTACACATACACTTTTGGTATCTAATTTAAGTAGTCTGTTTATAGTTCTATACTAGCTATCATATCTGCAACTCAACTAGGTGCATTGCCTATTTAAACTCTCTGTACTGAAATTTTTACTATATTACTAGATTATTTCTAGTACATACATCAGTCAAGAAGGTCTAGATACTTTTACTTATATTCTTAGGATCCTATATCTTGTTTTATGCAGTATATTCTAAGAAGCATTGTTATTAGAGTTTTCTGTATTTTATATATAACTAACTTAGTTTTTATATAATACATTATAGTTATCTAACACTTGCAGTCATAGGAGTTACTTGTTTAACTGCTATATTACACTATTTCTACCTTTGTAAAGTTTATTTAAATCTCAGTATTTATCTTTTTAACTTTTTTTCTTTATCTTTCTACTATCCAACTTAAAATCCAATAGACTTTCCAAACTCCCAATTTAGATAGCCTAGTATAGTATATCTTAGATATTCTTTTCTTTTAGTAATTTTAGCAGTTTGGTTGGTCATGTATTCTTCTATATATCTTTTCATCTGGTTGCATGTCTGCCTATTCCTTATTAAGATTTTCTAAGCTTCTATCAGTCTAACAGCATTGTTAAAAGTTTGTATTATCTCTTTACTTAGGAATTTCTAAGTAGAATTCTGTTTTATTGGTTTCTTAGTTTTCTATATTTGGTAGTCTTATTATAAGTTTGTACCAAAATCTTATACAATACTGGTTATTAAAATTTCTTTATGTACATGTAATATTATACTTTATATAGATGCTCTGAGCTCTCAATAATAAGTAGAACCTGATTGGTTATATCTAAGATTACATATACCTAAATCCAACTAATCAATAGAAGACAGTTTTTTCAACTTTGATTGAAGGTATCTTAGCAATGACTTGATCAAATTTGATGAAAATTTTTTATTTAAATTCTACAGATCTGTAAAATTCAAATAAAAAAAAGTTTCATTAAATTTGATTAAGTTGTTGAAATATCTTCAATCAAAGTTGCAATAAAAATTTGATACAATTTTTTGTAATAGATTTTTTAAAATTTAGAAAAATTTTGATAAAAAATATCCCAGTAACCACTTGATCAAATTTGATGAATTTTTTTATCTGAATTCTACAGATTTATAGAATTAAATAAAAAAATTTTCATTAAATTTGATCACGTAGTTGCTAAGATATTTTTGATTAAAGTTATAATAAAAATTTTGCTATAAGTATTATATGATAGATGTTTTAAAATTTGAGAATAACTTTAATTAAAGGTATCTCAACAACTACTTGATAAAATTCAATGATTTTTTTTTATCTAAATTCTACAATTCTGTAGAATTCAAATAAAAAAATTTTTATTGAATTTGATTAAATAGTTGCTAAAATATCTTTAATTGAAAGTTTGTTAAAACTTTTAATATAAATATTATATAATAAATGTTTTAAATTTTGAAAAATTAGAAGTGTGATGACTTAGTAAAGTGGATAAGTTATTAACCCTCCAAGTGGTAGGTTGTGAGTTCAAAACCTATAAACAGCAAAAATTTGAATAATCATCTATATAATATTTATATTATAGCAACTGTTTCTAATGATTAGATTAAGATACCTGTAATTATAATTGCATTAGTA